GTATCTCCTATATGTCTATCTCTCATATATACTATCTATACATTTATATAAAATATCTATCTAGTATCCATAGACTATTCAGCCAAAAATCTCTCACTCTCGTCCATATATCTCTACAGGGTATTTGCTAGTCTCTCGCATGCCACATTTCCGCCTTTGTAGGCGAGTGTTTCGCAATTCATATTTTATTTTCTGTATCGCTCGAGTTTAATGATAAATGAGCTGCGATCCCCACACACGAAAAGAATTGGAAAACAGCGTTGACTGATAAAGGAACCAGAAAACACAAAGCGAAATATTTAATGCGCATTTATTTATGTTTTTTTCGTCGTGTTTTGAGTAGTTTTTGGTTGTCTTCTATGTTAACGATTCCAGTTGCCAAAAATGGAGTGCGCTTAATGACCTTCAAGTTCTATGCATAAATTTTGGCTTTATATACAAATATATACATATGTATGTGTGTATATACATATATATGTGCGTCTTTTACCTGAGCTCGTAAATCTTGCGCTGCACCAATGACAGCGCATCTTAAGATTTAACCCCTTCTCTCGGCAGCCTCACTTGAGAGAGGGCGTGGTCTGTGTTAGGGTTCAAGCGTGAGGATCTTTAACCACTTAACGCGACCTTCAACTCGACGAATGTGTGTGAGTGCCTGTGTGTGTGCGTGTGTGTGCACAGTAAATTAGAAGCAATTGGCGTCTCTGCGTCGACTGTTGCCTTCGCTTGCTCAGCAATTTTATGAAAATGCCAAACACATGTTATTCACCCCCGCAGCTTGCTAAAAAAAACTATATTCCATTCAGACTATTTGTTTGTATTCTCATTATTTTATTTTTGCTAATGATGCGTATATTTCTATGTGGAATAATGTACTGCATATATATAAATATATACAAACATTTATATATGTTTCGTACATCATGTGAATTATTTGGCGATGAAGTCATAGCACTCACTCACATATATGTATGTATATACTATTATAATATTCAAATATGAAATTCCTGCACGTGACGTGTGACGTATCTGCCGGAGGTAGCACGCTGTGAGCACATTGCGTGACCATGCCTTAAAAGAAGTGTCGCCAGCCCCGTTCGTGCGACAGAACTTTTACCAATAAGCAGACAACAGTTGGCCGAGCTACGCCTAGCGCAAAGTCTCTTTATTGTAATTATAGCTAAATGTTTTTGACAAGTCGAGGCCTAATAGAGTTGTTTGTCATGTAGCGTCTAAAGAGCTGGCAAAAAAAAAAAATAAATAAATAAATGAATGGGTTTACCTGTTTAATAGAATACTATATAAGAAAAAAGAGAGGAGAAAGTTTAAGCAGCAGAAAACTGACTAAATGTTATAACTTGACTGATCAGATATTATTAATGAGTTAATATATTATATATTTTTGTTTATTTTTTTATTAGAGCCTTCAACCTAGCAAAATCTATTATATTAGGCCCATACTACGCAGCCAATTGAATTCCCTCACTTTGCTCTGTTAACTTAACATTCGCAGTCGGCTCTGTTAAGAAGGCGAGCAGTTGCTATTTGATTTACCTTTTCGCCTTTCTTTTCGACTCTCTTTCAGCTACAGTTTTGCTGTGGCCCGCTTTAATCTTGTTTGTGCGATCGCCCTTTGCTCCTTTCTTCCTTGTTCTGCTAGGCTTTGGCTAATTTCCTTTGCCATTGTCTCGCCTACTGCTGCTCCTGCTGCTGCTGCTGCTGGGCGTGCATGCAATGAAATCCTCTTTCAACAACCAATTTTTGCTTGCTTTTGCCACCAGTTTCGTTGATCTTTTTCACTGATCTCTGAAAGGTGTGTGTGTGTGTGCGTATCTGTCTCTCCCTCTCTCAATCTCAATCTCAATCTCTATCTCTGTCTTAATACAAAGAAAGTAAATCAGATTTTGGAGCAGCTGTGCATCTTACGAAAATCCCAACAGCAGTCGTCGCTTCCTGACCTGATTTATTGCCATGCTTGGACTAGGTCCACTCGGTCCACACTGTCCACACAGCCAGCCTACCTAAATATTATCGTAGGCTCATGCAAATACCGCATATGATTTATGCTCCTATGAGTCCATACCGGAATGCGTAGACCAAAGTAAATTTGCCATAGCTTATGGTTTAGCGTATTATTAAAAGGCCATTATTTGCTCGAAAAGAAAGAAAAATTCCCGAAAACCTATCATAACATGCATGAACTATTTCCATAGATCATTGAAATTCATGGCATGGCAAAATTTTTGTAATTTTGTAGGTCACTAATTTTTTAATTAATGCAAATGCATTTGGAATTCGCTAATGAGCTACGGACCAGTCAGTCAAGGCTGCCGAATGAATTGGTTGAGGAAGGTGAAATAGACTATTTTAATGTTCTATTTAGAAAAAAATATATATATAGATATCATTTGCTATCCTAGTTAACTTATCTCAATTACAGCTGCCCAGCTGTCCAGTTGACGTCGTACTTTAATGCTCAAAGAGTTTATATCCCTCATATTATTTTCGTATTCGTTTTCTAACTATCTTTATCTTGTCTAGCTTACAGCATACAACGCGTTATTTACACAGTCTGAGCACACAGCTCAAATTTCCTTGACTTGACTGCAGTCATAACCGAGTTACTTAAGATCGTTTTATAGCTTACGTCAACTCAAGCTGCATTTGTTGAGGTGTGTGTGTTGATAGTTGAGCTACCGTAAAACCACTAAATGGTCAAATAAAATTTATGGCATTCCTCAAGAAAAATGAAAACTGAATTCGAAAGAGATCCTTGGTGGGCGCCTCTGATATATTTTATTGTGATGGCACGCTTCAAGAGTTGATAAAGACGCGCAGTTCTTACAGCTGTCCGTAATAAAAGACAGAGAGAAAGACTCTTTTAGTACTTTTCGAGGTCAGGGCGGGGTCAATGATAACAGTTGCATAACAATTTCAAATATTTTTATACAAGAATTTTCTTATCATACTGAACTGTGAGCTAATTAAAATGCTTAACCCACATCAGCAGGCAAATCCCTGAAATGGGCTGTGTATTGTAAATAGTAAACAAACAAACAAACTCTCAACCCTTTCTCTAGGGACTCGAAACGCAAAATGAAAATCTCTCGAGTCGAGAAAAACGAAGAAAACGAATGAGAAATGAAAATGTGTGTCTTTGGGTCGGGTTTGTCGTGGCTCGTTTGCATACGTAATTAGCTTGGGCATTTTGACAACGATGGCGACATTTGACATGAGTTTGAGTTACGATCAGTTAGGATCAGTGTGCTGGCCGAGCAAGACTGGGAAATGGAAAATGTGTACTGTGTAATGTGAAATGAGAAATGGGAACTTGCGAGGGGAGTTTGCCTCGCTTGCCGCTTATCTTTACACCTCGGTTTGAACTTTACGCCTAAGCCGATCGGCGATCTATCTTCGAGACATTTGACATCATTAGTCAAACTTAAAGACGCATTTGTAATGTTCACATTGTTTTATCTCTTTTACTTCCTCTTCTTCATCTTCTTCTTCTTCTGTTAGTTTCGGCTTTAGGCGCCTTTCGACTCTGATCGCAGCCATTAATTAGGTTTCGCTTAGAACCAGTTACCGCCATATTTGATTTGATATCATTTCATTTTATTTCATTTCATTTCATTTCATTTTATGGCCATGCAAATTGCAAAACCGCGCTAATTTTTTTTCCTTTCCCTGGTCTGTATGAGGCATATCAGTTTCACAAAGCACTTTGTTGTTGTATGTCTCTCAGCTATTTTCTTCATTTTTTTGGGTTTCTTTGTACAACAAAAGGCATATTTATTTCGTTTTAATTTGTAATTTTGCGCTATGGTCAAGGCGAGGAGCGGCTCAAACCAGTTGAACTTGTTAGCGTGTACACACTGTGTCACAGATTTTTGTCCTTTCGTTCGTTTAACAAGCAAGCAAACAAGTTTCTGTCGTCCATCCATCTAACCAGCCATCCATCTATATCCATGTCTTCTCAGAGCACCCTTCAGTGTTTACTCAGCCAGCTCTTAACAACTCATAATAGAGCAATTTTCACGTGTCCTTGCTGGCCAGTAAATCAACTGGTCAAGGCAGCTCACAAGGATCAGCACTTCCATTGTCACTCCTTCGAAAATGCGTACAACACTTTTCAGCCCCTAAACAGCGAGGTTTGTGAAATTGATCGTGGCACTCGTGGATGCTAATGCTGTGGGCTTTACCAAGATTTACGAGTATTTGGCAGTTTTATGGTTGCATTTAATTTGCTTGGCTTAAACGGTCAGAAGTGTTGTGATCGAGCTAAGAGAAGAGCTTTCACACAGACACGACTCATGTATGCGAAAAGCTTTTGCAGTAGTGGGCAGTGCAGCTTGATTTACGCAAAAGCTCGCAAATACCTGGACAGCCTGTGAAAAGCTCAACTCAACTCTCACTGCAGCTAATTAAAGCTCAAGCGCATCAAGTGTGCTGAAAGCTGCTGTTCGATTGCCTGGCAACAGTTGCCGCTGACCTTGAAAGCTTTTTCTTATAAAAACCTGAGCCAGCCGGCTACCAGATCTTAAATTTTGATTGTGAGACATAGCCGAGAGCTAATTTAAATCAAAAAAGTGTTCAAGCAACTGACAATAAGAGCAGTTCCCCCCCCAGTTCAGCACCCCTCAGAGAGGCGCACCAAGCGAACAATTGCCGAAAATGTCTGAAAAGTAGCTGCAAGGTATACACAGTTTCTTCCTCTTCTTGCCTTGAAAGCTGTCAATCAAAACATAGGTACACACATGATATATATGTATAGTTATATATAGAGGTCTATAGTCCTGGCATTTGCATAAGAAGAATCACTAATGAGAAACGAAAGGAAAAAAAAAACGCTTTTGGCCGCCTTTTGCATGTAGGTCAAAAAGATGTCACGAGCTGCAAACGAGTTTCACGCTAATTACGTCGTGTCGAACTAGTTTACCGTCAAACAGCAAACATTTTCTTACTAATGATTATTTGGTTTTTGATTTTTGTCTCAACAGATTCCTTTGTGAACAGCCAGGAATGGACGATATCGCGTTCGGTGCCCGATTTGCGGCTGGGCATTGTCGGCTCTCTGAATTCGGGCAAATCGGCGCTGGTGCATCGTTATCTGACCGGCTCCTATATGCAGGAGGAGTCGCCGGAGGGCGGTCGCTTCAAGAAGGAGGTCTTCATCGATGGCCAAAGCTATTTGCTGCTCATACGTGATGAGGGCGGCGCACCTGAAATGCAGGTAGGTGGAAGAACATCAGGAACATCATCATCTAACATACTTTATGCATGAAAATGTTCCTAGATGATATATGGCAGTTCTCTTTGGTGGGAGAGGGGCCTGGGGGGTCTTCTGTCTGAGTATTCGGGGGTGGTTTCCACCTTCAAGTGGGGGAGGGAAGAAAAGTTTTTGCTACTAACAAATTTAGCCCTTATCATCTTGTAAATATTTGAATTGAGGTCAGATGGGGGCAAAACTTTTCTAGTTTTGTCGAGTAGCTCAGCTCGTTTGCCAGTGCTTAGCAGGTTGTTTGCTACACTGCAACAAAACAGAACAGTCATAAATTTAATGTGATTTATACCTCACATATAGGGTATATAGAGGGCTGACAAGTTTTCCAACTGGTCAAGTCAAATCCACTGCAGTCGTAGTTTCTGTCGTAGTTTTTGCCAATTATCAAGTTCTTTTCTCGCCTCTTGCAAAATTTTCCGACTTCTTTGTCAGCTTTCACATTCAATGGCAAAAACTTGAGCTGTCTGCCCGCCGTGCCCCGTCGTCCCGTCGTCTCGCCCGACTCAAAACTCTTCTCTAGTGGCTCTTCAGAAGGCCTTTTTATTTTATTTTTTTGCTCTGCCTGTGACTCACTCAATCGAACTTCGACCTTTGGCAAGCAACAATCGTAGCCTGTTGGTCGCTGGGCGGGAAGATGGGGGAACGGTGGCTATTATCTTGGCCTGGGGCCAACTGCTGTTGCAACATTTTGGCTCTCAGTGAGCCTTTAAATACCCTAGGCAGGAAACGTATGGTGAAAGTGTCATAGAACTACATATATACACATACTGTAGATCAGTTTTATGATCTATGAAAATCTCAGTTATTATAATATACTTTTAAATTCAACAATTTTTCATAAAGAAACTGAAGTTTTAATACGCAAAATCTAAATTGATAATATAAGGAAAATACCAGAATAAAAATGCAAATAAATTGCTAAGATTTCTAGCTTAAAGAAAATAAATAAATAAATAGTGAATAATGTATAAAAAACGTGTTTGAAAGCAAAGGCAACAAAAATCCAAAACCCAAGATTGACTTAATTATTCCCAGAGAAATAAAAAGTTACTTAAGCAGGAAATAAGCCACATACAGAGTAGAAATGTATCTCTGTCTAAACTAAACTAAAACTAAACAACTATACTAAAAAAAAAAACAAAAACAAAAAACTAAAAATTCGTTAAGAACTAAAACCTTTAGATTGTTCTCAAAAAAAATTAGATCCCACAAAATGCAGTCCGAACACAGGACATCTCTTAGTCGGCCCATCAGAGACTACAAATTTCTTGCCTTATTGCGACACTTTTTGTTTGGCTGTTTGGGCCTTAGCCAAGGGCTCCCATGCTTTTTGCACGTTAGAAGTTTACGTGATGCGGCAACTGTCCAATATCATCGCATTGGGGCTGTCGCAAAGGTTAAAGTTGATAAACTGTGCCACGATTGCAGTCGCTGGCAAGCCTTCGAGCAAATAGCGTAGGCCCGCCCCTATATCGTGCCATATTCACATTTCTATGCAACATTTCGTATTCCCGCAGCACAATTCAATTTTTTGTTTGACTCATTGATTCGCAGCTTGAGAAGCTTTTGTTCTTTCCTTGCCATTCGCATTCGGGATATTCGCATATTTGCAAAAAATATTTTCTGTATCGACGCATGTTTGTTTGACAAGCGAAATGCCCCCCGCTTACAGCGAGAAGAGGAAGAGGATGCAGAGAGAGAAGAAAAACCCTCTATGAAACCCTCCAGCTTAAAGGGTGAAAGTGTGGATTATAATTTTTAAGCTGCTTTCGCTTTTGAGCAGACTTTTTTTTTTTTTATTTGCGGTGGGTATTTATTATGAGATTGTAGGGGTTGATCATCGTATGGAGAAAAAAATGTGCCTGCCACGCGACGTGACCCTAAAAATCGCATAATACCTCGTCTATATCCAAGGGCTTAGCAATTGACTATTTGTAGGGCTTAGCGAATTTTATTTAAATTCCAATTTCTATTTTCACTTTTTTTTTTTTGTATCTCCACTGTAATTATGTGTTGTTAATATACGCAAGTCAAGCGTATGATTGACCCATATTTTCAATAAAAAATATATATTCAGCTTGACGGCTGTGTGAGAGGTTTAAGCTGCATTTTAGATCAATATTTTCTATAATTACATTTATTTTAGATCTTGATAAAGTTTTAACGTAGAAACAGTTTGACAGTAATTAAACAGTTTGAGTTGCAGGGCATATTTATTGCTGGGCAATGCATGCTAAACTGTTTATTAAGGTTGGTCTTGCTAGATTTCTCGCTGTCTCTCTCTATCTAATACAGCTTGACAGCCATTCAATAGTTTGAGCAGCGTTGCATACAGTAGATTCTTAAATACTATGCATCTCAAACTGTTTGTTTTGGTTAGCTTATCAGACTCTCTTTTTATATATCAAGCTTTCACTCTCACTCTCTCTTTCTCACTATCTATATCTCTTTCTCTCTCTGAAGCTTTGACAGTCCTTCAGCAGTTTGAGCAGCACTTTATAAAGCAATCTCTTCGCTCTTTCTCTCTCTCTCTCTCTGCTCATACGATTCAAATTGCATAATCATTTCCTAGCAGCGCTTGTCAAACTGTCTGTTATGGCTGCTTAATCGAGCTGTCTTTCAAACTTTCTCTCTCTCTCTCTCTCTCTCTCTCTCTCTCTCACCTTGTCCGTCTATCTCCAACACCCTCTCTTTTTTCTCAGTTGGTCGCACAAAAACGTTTCTCTCCCGCAATTTAACTAATTTAATGTCCATTTCTTGACTAACTTCTGTCATTCGCATCTTTATGCAACATAATAAACCATATTTCTACGGGAAAAAAACCCTCTATGTGAGAGCAACCCCCTAGCAGCCAGCCACCCTCCCAGACAAGCACAAGTGTTAAATGATGTGATTGCTGCAGACAAACAATACCCTACAAATGTGAGATAAAAGAAATTTACACTTTTTTTTTCTTTTTGTATATTTGACTGCCATAAAACGTAGCTTGTTTTAGCTTTTCGCACATTTACAGGGTATTGTGCAAATGGATATGAAATTCGTCAATGCCGTCGCGTCGCCACTCAGTCGCGCTCTTTTTCCTTTATTTTGTTTTTATTCTCGTTTCGCAATGGAGCAGGATATCATTACCATATACGCGACGACAATATTGCATGCGACGGCTGTCGATTCGACATGTTATGCTTTCAGTCCTTCTAGTTTGTTTTTGGCAGGCAAAACAGACGAGTTCAAGGTAATAGAAGCGAAATAGAGAGAGCGAGAGAAATGATGAGAAAAGTTTCTAGATTTTAACGAATATTTAGTAATAGAGAAAGGGAAGTGATGAGAAAAGTTTCTTGAGCTTGAGCGCTCAAAATGATATTGCTTGGATATAAATCATGCTTCAGTCAATAAATTTTAGTATTCACTCTAGACTGAAAATTTAATTAATTATTCTAATCAAGGAGTTGTTGAAAAGTACAGATGGAGTTCTCTCTTTCTAGCAAGAATAATTGATTACCTAAATTTATATTGCTTGCCTATTCGCCACATGCTTCAATCCATGATATATTGATATTCCAAGCAGCTATAAAAATATTTAAAATATTGCCTAATATAAATTCATATACTAGCAACAATTCACTAATAGAGCTTCGAGCTTTAAATAGTTTCACTTGTATAAAAAAGTCAATATAGCAAATGCCTTTACTCTAAAGGCATATTTGCTTGTGTCGCATATAAAAGTGTTCTTAGAATTTGTCAGGATTAGCAGATACTCTGAATAGCTCTTAACCCAGATAAAAGTTGTGCGCATTGTTGTGTGTCTATTTGCTTGTGCAGCACTGTGAGCAAGCACGAGCCCCCAACGAAAGCCCAACCCCAGCGCAGTTGAAATTGTTTTGTTGTCAAGCGAATGTCTCCGGGAGTGTATGTGTGTGAGAGTGAGTGTGTGTGTCTAAGTGTGTGTGTGTGTGAGTTGTCTGTGTCTGTGTGCGTTTCCCGTGTAGCCGCTGCATTTTTTTTCTACTCTTCTTTCTTTGCTTTCCTGTTTCCTCCTGCATACGCTTTTCACAACAAATCATAAAAAACGCAAGCACTCAACCACCCACTGAACCACCCGGCGAGGAGGACAATGCGCCAGGACGAGGCCGCAGGACAACGAGCGCGTCGACCAAGACGCCAGTTGTTTGTCGACTGGCATTGCGGGCGGGCGGCTTTTCCAGCTCGTTCGAGACAGTTCCATGTGAACGGAATCCGGGCACAGACACAGGCAAACAGCAGAGAGATGTTTCACTTTATATAGGAGCACATAAATAATTTATAGTAAATTTTAAATACATTTCCGTGCGTGAGTGCAAATGCATAACAAATAAGTGAGTGTGAACAATCGATAGTTTATGCTTTCGCAGGACACACGAATCCTGCGCACTGAACACAAAGCGCCTGTTTACAAGCCAATGTAAGAGTTCATTATCCTGCGACTGCCATTGCATATGTGTGCGTGTGTGTGTGTGTGTGTGTGAGTGTGTGTGTGAGGCATACAAAAATCATTGAAAGTTTAGCACACGGCAAAGGACTGCTGCCAAAAGGATTCAAGTGCTTCATTAGCGACTTTCTCAAGTGTGCGTGTGTGCTTGCTCCCTCATCACTCAGCCCCTCGCTGTACCCCTCTGCCTCTGCCCCTGATCCGCGCTGTTGTCCTTTGTTAGGCGCGCTTCCGCCTTTTGTGCTCTGTCCCGCCGCCAGACGCCGTCAATGTTTTTCATTTTGATTTTTATTTTTTTCTGTTTACTTCGCGCACAAAGTCAAGGACTCACGTCCAAAACTTTGGCGAATTGTGATTTCTTCATATTTTTACACACGCTTTTGTTTTCGTCCTTCAATTCCATTGCTTTAATGTTTCTCTCTTCTCTTGCTCTCTGTTTCTTTCCGGAATCTTGCAGTTCGCCGGCTGGGTGGATGCGGTAATCTTTGTGTTTAGCCTGGAGAACGAGGGCAGCTTCAACACGGTCTACAATTATTATACGAAAATGGCGCACTTTCGCAACGGACAGGACATACCCATGATATTGGTCGGCACACAAGGTAAGCTATTGTTATATAACTAAGCTATAATTAGTGATAAATGTGGTCGAGATATTTACTAGTCGTAATGCATAATGAAAATCCTATTAACATAATTGATCAATCATGGGTCAGCTACATGAGAGTAGACTGTGGCATATCGAAAAAGTAGGCTATCGATAAGTCAAATTATAGCAGATCATAAAAAATCGAAAGCTAAACTATCAAAGACGATAGAAACTCTACATTAATGTAGAAACGAATAAGGGAATCAGAACTACTGAAAATTACCTATAAACCACTGTGAAGTAGACCAGAAATGATGTTGGAAATGATTGATTTATCATAGAGAATTGATTATCGTATATCGAACGCTAAACTTTCTAAAATAAATTGCACTTTTTTTTTTTTGGTAAATTCAAGTTAATATCTATAGATCCAAGAGTCTTTTCATTTGATTATATCAATATATCGATACATGTTACAATCGATCAGTTTGTGCTCTATATAAATAATAATGTGAATTATGTGTATACATTTTCATTATAGATGTAACTGACGTAAATGCAAAGTCAGCTTTACAATATCGATCGATTTATCGAACTGTTATGCTGTCTGAATCAAACTATTGACCAATGCAGCGCTGTCTTAAGTATTAACGCAGTTAAATTATGTAACGAAAAGTTTCTCGACTTACATTCTCAATTTAAATGCAGCTGTTTTGAAGTATCGATAAATATCGAAATATTGTAATTTATTTCTAAAGTGTTTTATTGAATAGATTTAATTTGTTTTTTAGCTGAACTACTTTTTGACATTCGCTAATCAAAATGTTCTCTTTCCAGATGCCATCAGCGAGCGCAATCCACGTGTTATCGATGACACGCGCGCTAGAAAATTGGCGAGCGATTTGAAGCGTTGCTCCTACTACGAGACCTGCGCCACCTACGGCCTGAATGTGGAGCGCGTCTTTCAGGATGGTGAGTAGCGAACGGCTGTTAATTATTTGATTAAATATGATAATGATTGAATTGATGTTTTCCGCTTTCGCGCAGCCTGCCAGAAGATACTGTCGCAGCGCATGCCGCTGCCGGCGGCCATGCAGCCGCCGCGCCCCACTACGCCGCAGGGCACACGGCTAGGGCTGGCCGCGTTCCAGGCGCCCACCAACGGGCAGCGGGCGCAGCAGCAGCAACTGCCGCTGCGCATGAGCGCTGACTTTGCGCAGGCGGAGCAGAAGCTCTGGTCGCTGCAGGCGAGCGGCTCCACCACTGAGAACAACAACATAACCAAGTACAATTCAGGCGCAGCGCAACAGCAACAACAACAGCAGCAACAGCAACAACAACAACAACAGCAGCAACAACATCTGCAGCATCAACAACTGTCGCTGCCTAGCGACTGTGCCCAGGTGCAGCTGCGTGATCCACGGGATTTGGCACCGCCGCCGGGCAAGGACTTGCCCACGCCCACATCGACGCCCACGACAAGCCGGAAAAGTCGACGGCGCTCGAATCTGTTCATACCCTCGTCCTCCAAGAAGAACGACAAGGAGCCAAAGAGCAGCGAACTGGGCAGCGGCCGCTCGATACCCATCAAGCAGGGCTATCTGTACAAACGTTCCAGCAAGTCCTTGAACAAGGAGTGGAAGAAGAAGTATGTCACGCTCTGCGACGATGGGCGACTGACCTACCATCCCTCGCTGCACGACTACATGGACGACGTGCACGGCAAGGAGATACCGCTGCAGTATGTGACGGTCAAGGTGCCCGGCCAGAAGCCGCGCGGCTCCAAGTCCATCATCACGAACAGCGCGCTGACCAGCTCCCTGCTGGCAAACGGGCAGCGGGCGCAGGGCACGCTCAGCGAGGGCATCGGCTGCCTGACGCTGGCCAAGGACAATCAGCGCAAGCTGAGCGAGAAGCTGTCGCTGCTGGGCGCAGGAGCAGCGGGTGGGGTGAGCGGCTCCAGCGGCGTGGAGCCTCTGAAATCGAATAGTTCACAGCAGACGAGCGGCGACGAGGGCATTGCCATGTCCAATTCGAACTCACAGACTTTCATAGCGGGCGAAGCGCCGGCCAGCAAACTGGAGGCCCAGACGCCAAATGTGAAGAAGCGCCATCGGCGCATGAAGAGCAGCAGCGTCAAGGCGAACGAGGCGGACGACAATGATGGCTACGAGTTCTACATTGTCTCGCTCGACTCCAAGCAATGGCACTTCGAGGCAGCCAACTCGGAGGAGCGCGACGAGTGGGTGGCGGCCGTCGAGCAGGAGATCTTCAAGAGCCTGCAGAGCATCGAGAGCAGCAAAACGAAACCGGCGACCAGCACGGAGTTAGCGGCCATGGTGGCGATCCGGCAACGTGTGCCGGGCAATGGCCACTGCGTGGACTGTGGAGCGCCAAGTAAGTGGGGGAGAAATTTAGAAATTTAGATTTAGACGATAGATTGAGAAAGAGAGGTAGAGGCAGAGGTAGAGGTAGAGGTAGAGGTAGAGGTAGAGGTAGAGGTAGAGGTAGAGGTAGAGGTAGAGGTAGAGGTAGAGGTAGAGGTAGAGGTAGAGGTAGAGGTAGAGGTAGAGGTAGAGGTAGAGGTAGAGGTAGAGGTGGAGGTGGAGGTAATCTATTGAAAACCAACTTTTTCTATGAGCTAATTTAGAGAGATATATCGAGCTGTAAGACTGCTTACTTAACATATCTGAAAAGATATATGATATTTCAATGGAAGAGAAATATTGAAAAAAAAAAACTAAGTAATATGTGTATATTTATTAATAGAAAAGGAATCCGAGTTCAGAGGGAATAAATAGGTTATCTTAAGAGCTTTTATAGAATATATAAGAGAACAATCGATAATTATTTCGATATAAACAATGATGACGATAGACAAGATTCTAAAGATATATAAAGATTTCATTCATGCAATAGCTTTGCCATTAAATGACTTTAAAATATATATTAACTATAAACTTTTTACTCACCCCACACAGATCCCGAATGGGCTAGTCTCAATCTGGGCGTGCTTATGTGCATTGAATGCTCGGGCATCCATCGCAATCTCGGCTCGCACATCTCCAAGGTGCGCTCCCTGGGCCTCGACGACTGGCCGTAAGTAGAATACACTTTAAAAAATCACACACATTTAATCATTAACTTACGCCACGCCCTTTTTGTATCCCATTAGAGCGCCGCATTTGAGCGTTATGCTGGCCATCGGCAACAGCTTGGCCAACTCGGTGTGGGAGGCGAATACGCGACAGCGTGTGAAGCCCACCTCACAGGCCGGTCACGAGGAGAAGGAGCGCTGGATACGCAGCAAATACGAGGGGAAGGAGTTCTTGACGCCGCTCGGCAGCGGCAACCATGTGAATGCCGCCTCGCCGGGCCAACAGCTGATCGAAGCGGTCATTCGAGCGGACATCAAGTCGATTGTCTGGATCCTGGCCAATTGCCAGTCGGAGGTGACCAATGCCAATGTGAGCGCACGCGATGTTCGCACGCCTCTGCTGCTGGCCTGTGCCATTGGCAACCTGGCCATCGCCCAGCTGCTCATCTGGGTAAGTTAGCTGAGGAATCGCCTCGCTCTCGCTATCGAAGACTCATGCGTACTTTTGTCTACCCACAGAACGGTGCGAATATCAAGCACACGGATCATGAGGGTCGCACCTGCCTGGCGTATGCACGCGCTGCCCAATCCCTGGCCACGGCCAAGTCGATGAAGGCCGCCGCCGCCCTGGCCGCAGGCACACCGGCACCCGCCCCCGCACCGGCGCCAACCGCCAATGGTGGCATACCCGCACCACAATACAATGTGGAGGATACGACGGCGCTGGTGGAGCTGCTGGTGGGCCTGGGCTGTCCCGAATCGGCGCCACTCACGGCTAGCGGCACCTTGCCCCGACGACGTGACACCCTGGGCACGCCCTACGAGAAGTCCGTATCGGGCGTTATCTAAAAAAAAAAAAAGAACAACAAAAACAAAAATACGTAAAACAAAAAATTAAGAATAGTTGAATTTCAAACGCTAAACAAAATCCAAGTTGTTTTTGTGTTAATTGTAAAATGCATAAATATATGTTTGATCTGTTTAGCGATTAGTTTTAAAAGTGTGCGTAAATTTCTCTCTGTGTATAGCAAATATAATCGGGCATTAGGTTTTACTATTTTAAACTAAACTAAAATTGAAATGTGCAAATGAATTAATTATTTTTCCTTCGGCCAGAGTTGAATTTAAATTCATGTAAAAGGTAAAATCGTTTTAATTTACGATTAGTTGTAGTTTTGTTTCGATTATTAACTACGCTTAATTATAGGCACAAAAATTCTGTACAGTCTTGTTGTAAATCTCAAGTTTTTTAATTGATTAATTAATTTATTATTTTGCGTATTACTATAACTATTATAATTATTCATTATTATATATTATTATTATTATCATTATTATTGTTTTTAAACTGTGTGCAGGTTTTTTTTTACAAATGTCGTTTGCAAAACAACAATTTAAGTAATTAATATAATTTGCTTTTTAATTAAAAGAATATAATAGGATGAGTATGTGAAAGAGCAAGAGTATTCTCAATATAATATGCATAAAAATAGCTGATTAATGAGAAATAAAAAATAAAAAAAAATATATATATATATATGTATACATACGTATGAACATAGTGAATCTAAGACTAAAGCCAAAAACAACTTATAACACTATATATCTATACATAAATAAAATTCAATATATATATATACAAAGTTGACATTGCTTGATAATCGGTTGACACGCTTGTAACTTGTAGTTTACGCAACCCAAAGGAAAACTTTAAAACTTTGATAACAAAATTCCACTTAAAAATGTATTGTATTAGAAATCGGAACGAAAATGACAAATTATATATGATATATAATATATCAACTAAATGATGTAGCGAGCAAACTTGAAAGTATTTCAAACTAATTATATAGTTATTAAATTCTATAATATATATATATATATACATATATGTATACACCCCCTCTTTATTGTGTACGCTATTTGTACCACATGCTAAAAACAAACAAAAAAAAAAAAAAAAAAGCAAACAACATAAAACACATAAAGTCGTGACAAAACTCAATATAATTGGATGCAAAATGCAACAGGCACAAAAATAAAAAATAACCGAAAAACCACAACAACAAAAACATTAAATAAAAATATAAAAAATCATTGAAAAATTTAAATTTCTTTTCTTTGTATAACATAAGTATGATATTTATTGTTGCTGGGTGGAATCGTGAATATGCTAGAATCGAAACTGAGTTTTTATGTTAAGTAAAGCAGCTCTCTATAAATTGAACCCACGTAGGGCAATCAGGATATGCTCTTGCTGGGAATTTCAGATTAAAATATACGCAGCTATAAAATACCCTTGCTATAACAGATCATACGGGTGCAATTTCTAAACTTTAGCAGTTAATTTTTGAGAACTCTACCATCTACAGTATTATTCTATATTATATTTGGAAAGCAAACTCCAACAGTATACCATATCATCTCAAACCAATTCCAAAATAGAGCTGTAATAAATTAGATCAATTAGAGTCAATTAAAAATAAAATATTTTAGCAACTAAAACTACCTTTTGTCGAAAAAATGGAAGTTTTTAGTATTTTATTTAAGCAAGAAAAAAATTTTCAATTTTCAACAGTTACAAATATAATTTGTTTAAGAGCCCTCATTAGAATATTCTAAATTATTCAAATTACAGCAATAACACTTTTCATACTCTTAAAAACATTAAACAAATGTTGTTTACTTGTCGGAATCTTTATTTCATTTAAAACAGAGATATACATAGTTTTCATTATTTCGTGACATATTTTAAAGTATATTCGAAATTGATTTGAAATACGTGTAAGTAAATAGATTTTAATACTTGCTCATATTTTATTTACTATGTAGTTTGCACACGTTTGTCCGACAATTGAATTTATGTTTGTTATAAATTTTAAAGATTATTCGTTATATATGCTTGCTATATAAATAGTACTTGGGATGGGCTTGGGGGTCAACCGAATACTCCATTGTGAGAGAGGAGGGAACGGTGATCTTGAAGAGGAATTCAAACAAACTAACAAAGGTTCCGGTGCGCATGAGTGAAGGCCACCCTAGATTGACCATAGCTTCAAAATACTAAATACGCATTGCCACGCATAAATATATTTATATATACATTGTTATGTATATACAGTTGCTTTTTGCGTTTGGCGAGGGGTTTCAGTAGGAGGAGGAGGGCGTTACTAGGGGGAATTCACAATTAGAAACGCGATCTATCATACGTTAAATCAAGGGAGTTACATACGATGCTTTGCATTTGAAACGAAGCTCCGTGCAAAGATCCTAAGTCCCCATTTTCTTGGGCCTAAACTCGGGAGGGGTCCTTAAATTTTTTTTCTGTTGCTTAATCATCTTGAATGGGTTAAACTTGAATCATGAACAATTTCAATATAATTTTTTTTTTTTTTTAATTTAATTTTTTTTTTTTTTTTCCATTTTTGTAAGATTGTTGGCCGTTTGGGTTAGCTGAGGGTCGTCGCCGTTTGAGTTGAAAGTGAACGATTTATGATTTCTTGATCTCATTTTTTTAGATTTTTTTTTTTTTTTTTCATTCAACATTTTTTCTGGTTTTCTGTCTAATACAACAAGCAAACTCCACGAAAATGCTGCCGCTGCTGAGCTACGGGATCCCATTGTGCAATGGTTGTTGCAGCTGTTGTTGTTGCTGCTGCAGCTCTAGATGCTGCTGCTGCTGATGCTGCTGCTGCTGCTGCTACTTCTGCTGGTTTGAATTACTTTTAAAGAAACAACATGATGAACAACAACTGCAAACAACAAACAACAATCAACGAAGAAGCTAACCACCAGCCGCTGCCGTTGCCGCTGCTGCTGGATATTTTTTTTATGATTTTTTTGTTTGATTGACTTTTCGTTTTGTTATCATATTATTTTTTTCTGCTGGTCTGGTTTGTTTGCCGTTTTTTTGTTGCCCCCACTTGGGCCGCGTCTGAGAGAGAAACATTTCGTAAACTTGGAACTCCATGTCGTTTTGTTGTGGTTGTACAGTGAACACACGCTATGCACATCCTTGCATTTTAATTAATTTGCATCTGCTGTTTTTTGCCATGCATTTGCCACCTAGCGTCCGCTCCGGCTCACTCATTTTTTGTTAGCCTTGAACTTGGCATAGAAGCTTTGGATTTGTGCATAACGCACGGGAATCGAATCAAGAATGCCCGTATAGCTAAAGTTCTGCTGTTGGCGATTCTTCTCGTGCAAATTGTCCCCGGATAGATAGGTGACCACGTTCTTCTGCAGCTCACTCACATGCGGATCGGCATGATTGGTCACCAGGTGATTGCAAAACTGGGCGATCTGTAGGAAAACCGATGCATCGCGATCTATATGTGGATATTGCGAGCAATTAGTACTGGAATTTGAGCTTCAGATTAACAAATGACTAACCCATCTTGCGTGATATCTTGAGCAGTGAAAGCGGCTGGCTTTCATTGTCGCGCTGTGCGCGCAGATGGCGATTGCCGTGCTTGAACTCCTGCTCCAGCCAGCGTATGACATGACGCACATTCTCGCTGCGCTTCTTCAGTTCATCCAGTTCGTTTAAAACTGGAAATGAAAGTACAAAGCATTAGCTGATTTGTTGTGAATTTAAAATTTAAATAAATTTAAGCGACTCACCCGCATTGGGTATCAGCACAATACACTTCTTGGTCCTTACCAAGGACTTGACAATGCCATTGTACTCGGTCAGAGCTTTGGCATCGACCACAACAAACGGTGACATGACCACATGGCTGGTGCTATCGCGCAGCTCCTCCTCCAGGGTTTCCACCTCGTTCTGCAGCCAGAGTTTGCCCATAATTTCACACTTTTTGGTCATCGCCTCGGAGCGTTCCTCGTCGGCGCCGCTGCTCGACTGCAAATTCAGCTTCTCAATGACGCTGTTTGTCGTGGTCGACGCTGAGGCGGAGGTGCCACCGGCCACAGAGGTGCCCGTGGCGCTGGCCAACAAGGCGGCGGCCTTCTCTGCATTGCGATTGCGCAGATAGCCCTTGCGCGGCAGCTTGCGGCATTCCTCCACCGTATCCTTCTCCTCGTTGCTCGTGTAGCTCTTGCGCACGATGCCATTCTTGCGATCCGAATAGCGACGAGTGCGTCCCTCGTTCCGCTTGCGTGTTGTCTTCGGTGCCGTGCGTCGTTCACGGCGACGCGAGCCACCGCCCTTTTTCTCCTCGCGCTTCTTCTTCTGGTTCTCGGTGAAGCGACGCGTCTTCACGCAGAAGCGATAATTGAACTTCTTCTGCTTGCAAATGAAGAAACCAAAATCAACCATCTTGAAGATGCGCAATATCGACTCCTCTTGGGGCGTGACACGCTCCCGAATGATCGTCTCCCAGTCAAGTGTTATCTGTGTGCTCTGGAATATGTCAAAGTTCTTGAAGGCAAAGTCCTCGCTCAGCGGCACATTTGCCCGCACATCGAACAGATCGACGAGCGCCTCGCGCACATTGCTCGTAGTCAAGAGGTCCCGCTCGAAGTAGACTTTCCGAGTGAATATATCAATGTTGCAGTAGTTCAGCAGTTTCATTATCTTGTGCACAAATTCCGGATTCGAGTGATAGCAGCCAATCAGAATCTCTGGATTAATGCGCAGCCAGTCGAAGAGCATCTTCAAAGCACGAATTGTTGGTTCATTGTGCAGACAATCGATTATGATATTTGGATTGATCTTCGTATACTTGTTGCGATAGACCAGTTTCTTCGGCGGCTCGGTAATGGTCAGAGGAGGTGCACACGTTTCGCCTCCGACATTAACTGCCGGCTCATCGGCCGCAGCTGTTTGATTGTCCTCAGCACACTTGAAATTCAATTGCAGCACTTCGAAGCTGCGCAGCAACTCCTCGGAGTCCACTTCTTGGGAAACGGGACGACGTTCCATTTCATCGGGATAGATAAGACGCTCCTCCTCGATGACAACATCCTCGTTGTCCGAGTAGACATTCGCACCGCCAGATTGACGAGGAGTACGCTCCTTTTTAACATAGTCCGCTGCGGGCATTTAGAGAATATTAATAGGGAAATTCAATGGAAGGTGCAGAGGACTGTCGACGGATGGACGGGTTTCTATTTAGAGCTTCAGGTTAGTTATTCCTCTATCAGCCTGATCATTTTTGTCATCTTTCTGTGTGGCAGATAATTCCTCTGCTTCGTCTTCCTATCGGCTTTTAAATTTTTCGGCTTCTGGTTTGTTCACAAATTTGTCCACCTGGCTGCAAATATTTGCACCTTTATGTCGATCAGGTCACTTATTATTCCCCTGGCCTAGTTTTTCCATCTGGTTCAGAGAGCATTAATATGGAAAAGGAATCAAGTCTTCATCCTTCAGTTCGATGGGCGATGGCTAAACATTTCATTCCAAAGTTATCTTGATGTATAGCTGTCTATTCCCCTATTCGTCGCCTACCTTCCTCTCGGGTTTTCCATTTTTTTTTCTCTTTTTGCCTGCCCACTAATCCCTACATCTGCCTGTGTGTCGTTTCATCTTCATCTACCTAGTCTATAAGCCTTACATTGCTCTCTCCGCTACGAACCGGCCTCATACAGTTAACTTTCTTTTATTACTCACCCGCTGGCGCTTCATCATGCTCGGCGGCATCAATGTCACTGAAATCGGTATCGAAATTAGAGCTCAGATCTGTGTAGTCCTCCTCGTCGCTGTAGAAATCGGTGTCCATGTCGCTCTCGCTGTCGTAGCACGAACTATCGTCCGACTGGGCAATTTTACGACGACGTCGACGCAGTCGCATGCCACGACGCTTGCTCTTGCAGGAGAGCGGGGTCTTTAGATCACTCTCCTTGGCCTCGTCGCTGGACCGTGTGGAGATGGGTTCAGTGCCGCCCAGTTTGTCAGTGTCGGGTGCCTCTTGTGTCTTGGCGCAGCCCTCATCTGCCGAATGTTGGCTATCCCGTGAATCGGAGCTGAAGTCCTTGGCGGAGTGTGGTCGTGCCAGCAGCTTCTTATCCTTGCGCTCACACTCACCCACGGCGGCCAGCCAGTTCTTGTATTCATTACGCGATTTACGCACTGTCGTATCAAAGTCCTGGAATCGTTTCTCGTATTCCGCCTGAAAACTCTCATTATCTGCGGCGCGTGCCAGAATCGTTTGCTCAATGTTCACAATGCAGGCGTCTATTAGATCGGAGCAGGCGGCCACGAGGAAGGCGTGGAGCGAATAGACCTTAGGTGAATTGATCATCTTCAGCTTGGACAGGCAGAAGAACAGTATGGAGATGATCTTAAAGATGCTCTGCTCGGGCACCGGCAGCAGCTGGGCGCAGAGAATCTTGCGCAGGTCGATCAGCACGCAATGGCAAAGGGAATTGAAGTCCGGCACCTCCTTGTCGAAGAAGAATATGTCGACAATCAGATAGAAGCGAGCATAGAAATCCTCGATATTAAATTCCAATTTAGCCGGATTCATTTTCTCCAGATACTCCGTGTGCTTGGCGAAAAGCTTATTCAGGTTGTTCTCGCTCAGCTCGAAGGGTATGATGCACACCAACGAGTACAAATAGTGATAGGTCGAGTCCAGATCATAATTCTGTCCATAATACAGAGTGCCCAGTTGATTTTGAGCCATGCCAATGGCTGGGTTCAGCTTAAATGCCTCCAGATAATACTTGGCCACCTGCTCCTTGCTGATGCTCAAACTGAGCTGGCTATCGATGCGAAAGTCCAGAAAATAGCGATGCAAATCGCCCAGGCTCAAGAGGGACGAGTGTATGGTATCCAAGGCAAAGGAGACTGCCTCCAAACTCTTATCGACCGCAGCCTGCGAGGGTTCCAGCTCTTTGCTGACTGCCGTATCGCTGATACAATCGCTGATATAGCCTTCGCTTATAATGGAGAAGTCAATCAAGTATTTCAAGTCCAAGTCATAGATCTCCTCCATTTTGGCCGACAGCCGCTTGTAATTGAAAATGCCGGCGCAAAGGAAGCGCTCCAGTTTCTGCATACACTCCTTATCGGCGCCTTGCTTATGCATATGCTTCTTCACAAAAGCTATAAACTCATAATAGCCGCGACGCCACATCACCTCGCGCACCTTTTTTCCCACCGATTGATAGTCCTGGAATGCAATGAGATTGAATTAAATAAAAAGCTCGAATAGAGATTCGATTTATAAAGGTATGGTGGATAGATGCCTATATCAATATACATATCTAATATCTACATACATATCTAAGTCTAAAATGACTATAGATAGAGATATATGCATATATCTTATATACCATGAATACCTTATGCCACATATTCTTTAATAAGTCTTATATATTTTACCTTAAATATTATTTGTTTGCACAGCTGCACAAGATTTGCGCGTTTTTCTTCGATATCGTGATGGAACAGTTGTCCAATATTTTGAATATTACGCTTGGCATCGTCCAGTTGCTTGGACACAGTATATAAAGCGCTAACAAAATACAAAATAAAATGGAAATAATTAAAATGTTCCTGCTGCTTTAGGTATGCCAAATATTTTACCGATATAAATCCTTAACCTCCTGACTGAGGGCCGAATTACCGTTATTCGATAGCAAGCCATTGTTATTGTTGCCCACGCAGAGCGTTGCATCCAAATTGCGGCAGCGACTTCTACAGCCAACGCCGCCGCCAGCGTCGACGGCGCATTCGCTGGATGCATTTGAGCCGCCGGAACTAATTGTTGACTCCATGGTCAAAGTGTAAGACACTGGAAATAGAGAAATAAATAAAAATACACATGAGCACGCACGTACATGCACACACCCAACACACGCACGCACACACACATATACGCAGGTGTATCAATAAACGACAATAACAAAGCAACAAGCGCTGAGAATTTTTCAGCTGTTTCTTGCTGCTACGTCTTTCGCCACAACTTGGGGTTTTTTTTTTTCTTTTTGCTGATGACGAATTTGTTTGCACAGAAATTTGCAGCTTCATGAATTTTTTATGATCTTGTTTTTTATTGGTAAAATTGCTGACACACAAACACACAAGTATATATACGCACTCGCGCATATGTGTGAATGTATTTCGTATTGAATAATCAATTAAACTGCGACTGGCTGGCTGTTGTTGCTGCTGCTGCTCTGGCATTTTCTATGCAAAAAAAATTCACTTTTACCACAATTCATGAAATTTTCTCTGACACTTTCACGCATTATGCGTTGTTGTTACAATTACAGCACATCCAGCTGTTGATTGCTTGCTGATAACTGTGGCAAAATGCTTTATATTAATTACCTTTATCAGTTTTTATATTGTTTTAAAACTGTGCACAGTTCACGTTTTGCGTTGCTTTTTCTTCTTTGTTGAACAACAAAGTGGCGCATGCACGTTCAAGCACGCCAGAAAACTCGTGCGTTTCGCTCTAGCTCACGAACTGGTTCACTGCTGGGCTGGTTTGTGGTGGTGATGGTGTAAATGTTTGTTGTGTAGCTCGACTACTAAGTGTTTCGACGTACAATTTTTGTGTGAGCTATGCAAACAAAATATATCAAGGCTGACTGGTTCGACTTTAATTTTTTTCTTGCTTTTTTATTTCACATACCTCTTCTAAAGACGCTTCTCTTATGCCTAAGCTTCTTCAAGCTATTCGCACGTGTAATTGTACCATATGTTCGACAATTAACACAGTGCTGAAAAGTACGCGTGAAAATGTTATCGATGGCTGCGCGCACGGCTGTAATCGATTATCGTGAGCAACAGCTGTTGACGGCGCGTGCTTTTCAAAATGTGTGAGTTCAATTTTTTTTGATATTCAACAAATGTGAAGTAAAAAATCTGTGTATCTACGTTTTTTCTGTAAAATATTTCGCTTTTTATGCACAGAAGTGTGCGACCTTTTACCGTCTACCGTCTATACGATCACAATTTATCACCTTTCATTGTATTTTTTCCTTTTGCCTGCCAATTAAAAGAGAAATGTGTCAGGCATCTTAATGAGCATGCAAACAGCTTAGGTACGGCTCTTCAAGCATTAAGTCTAATAAATATTGAATCGGCTTTTATTATTATATTCTTTTTATCGGCCAGCTGAAGCCTAACTCGCCTGACGCTAGCAGCGATTAGCTCTGGTCACGTCTCGCTTAGCGCCTCCATGTCGCCCGAGCTGCGACGATCGACCCGAGATCAACTACCTCGAGCATCGAACCTCTGGCAATTACCCCGCTCTCGACTGACCAAGACCCTCTCTCACACCTCGTATTCTACGTATAAAACTCACGCATTGGCATTCAAACATTTTTAGTTTCGATTCGTGTGCGACTCGCTCAAGTTCGTCTGCGATCGGGCGTTAATAATCGGCATTAATTATCAAATGTAAGTGTTTAGTCTATTATATATAATTGTGAATGTTTATATGTATGTATGCATTGTATATAGTTTATTTGATCAATCAGTTTGTATCACAGTATTTAAGTCAAGTAGGTAAATGAATTAGCTCGAAAGTTATCAAGTTAAGAAGTATGTATAACAAATTAATAAGCATACCGACATATAGAGCTACGGATTTATAGCTATAGATTAATAGATTTGTATTTTGCATTACCATTTGGCTTCCGACCTTGTAGTATTTCTTAGTGAAAAGATGGATTAAGAAAAATAAAACGATTAGTAATATATTATTTTTTCTGTATTAATTAAAATATAAATATATAAATATGTTTCGGAGTACTATCAAATGTTTTCAAAAATCTAAATTTGTAGTAAATATAAAAATGCTTATATTGTTTATAATTTAACTTACTTATTCAGTCGAATGGAATATTGGAACCTACGCATATTTATGGTGTTAAAATCATATACATACATACATATTTAATATTAATAAAATAATATTAATAAAAGAAAATATGAAAATATGCAGATAGTATGCATCGCATTAATTATAAATCTAATCAAACTTGACTATTTAAATATTTATAAAAAAATCTATTCTTAATTTTCTAAAGAATACAGTATTTCAAGAACTAGAAAAAATCGTTACTCTGGCATGAACTGGCCTCTATTAAATTGCGCTTTTAATTTAAACAGTTTCGCTAGAATGACTCGACATTCGTTTTGGTTAGTTACAAAGTATACATTTATAGGTATACATACATATATACGTAGAGTATATGCTCATTATAAATTTGTATAATCCAGATAATCGATCCGTCATAACTAGAGCTATTTCACTTTCTAACATAATCTAGAAATCTTATCGAGATCTGATGGGACTTACATAAACCGGCGTTGTTATTGTTGATTTTTATTTTCCCAGCCGATAGTTTGTAGAGCTTATCAGCGTCTGTTTATATAGCGTTGAAATATTTCACAGATACATTGCATTTCTTCTCTAATCATCTGGAGGATTAAAGCCGTAAAAAGCAAAGAACTAACGTTTACATTTCTCCACTTCAAATAACTTTATCTGAGGTTCCATCAATGTGTAAACATTTGTAATTTTCCAAGTAAAATCAATTGACCGTTGCGCGAGGTAGATAAGCATTCTGTATGCAATGTATATAATTCTGTATGACTGACCGATTTATTGACTAATTGATTAGCTAGGTAAATACATAAATATATGCTTGATTGATTGTTGTTAATGAATGATTCATATGCTATATTACATATATCAAATTTACTGATTAATTATTAATTAATTGCTTTAATATATAAATATATTATTGATTGATTGTTTCCAATGACTGATTGATGTATTCAATTGACTGATTGATTGACTGTATGCGTCTTCCAATGACTGATTGGTTTATTAATTCACTGACTGATTGATTGGCTATATTAATGTCTTTTCTGACTGAATCATTGATTATCTGTGCTTATTACACATGTACCCAAAAATAATATTCATTTAAAAACGATATATATCTTAATTCGACTTCAATTATTTATGCAAATAAATAAAATGGCTTTCTAAACTGGTTTTTAAAGAGAACTTAATTTCATTTCCAATTTATATTAATATCAATATTTTTAAATCAAATGTAAATAAAAATGAATATATATACATGCATATATCATTAATAAGAAATTTATACATCTGTTATATGTATTAATATAATCATGAACACGAAAAATAAGGTACGTAAATCAACTTTGATTTGTATGAGAGCGCAGATAAGTTGATTGGATAATATAATTTAATATAATATTGAGCTATAAAACTTGTTAATGATAGGCTTTCAAATTTTGTTAGATATATAATATTTGTAATTTTCAACGCTCCGAAGAGGCGTATGATAATAATTTTGGGTCGATAAATTGAATTGAATTTATAATTATAATAGATGTGTACATATAATTAATACAATATGTAACTTCGCTTCAATCTCTAGCTGGGCAACAACATCTAAAGGGCCTGCATATATAAGCCGCATTAAGTTTATTTAACTAAGCTATATCTATTGATACTCATATGCCCCGTTCAAAAAATAGAAAAGAGATTTGCGAAAAATTAATTAACACCTATGTCTTAGATATAAAATATATTGTATATATGTATCTGCATTTAGACTAATGTGAATACCATTTTTTTTTATTACTTCCCACTATTTCTAGCAGCACCCTGTATAAATATTCCGATTCTCAAGTCATTAACTTCTAACTGTAAAGTAGCCAAAACTAATATACTCACTTTCCACTATATGAACAAGTATTATGAGCTACACGTTCAAAACTCTCTATATCAGTTCGAAAATCTTATCGGCTACAAATAGTAAGCTCTATAACTGCCGCGAGGTATTAGCTGCTTATCTAGCAATAATCATTCGGTATTATCTATACCAACTATAAATGATTGTGCAACTGTGCGCAAAAATGTTTTCTAATAAATGCCCAATTAAAAAAATGTAGATATTATGATGAGAAAAATCGCTAGCTAGTCAGTCACATATCAATACTTTTACTTGAAAGATATTTTAAAGATAAAGATTAAATTTACTCTTAATAATAGGCCATATTTTTGCCGAGTGTAATTTTGTAATGCGAAAAAAAGCATTATCATTCTATATATAGGCTGACTTGTAGGCCAGAAGGTCAGGGTCAAAATTTAACGACATCTTAATCAATTAAGCTGAGAGACACTTCCTTTGCCAACTTCCCCGCATTTAACGATAGAAACAATATATACATGTGTGAATATAGAGACACGATCAACGTCAGCTGGGTGGTTGTGTTCAATTCAAATAAATTAATGGCCTGATCTAAATTCGAAAACAATTGTGCTTTCTAATTGCAGCGAAGAATTTTGGAATGATGAAGCTAATATGCGTAGCCCTAGTGGCTATGCTTTCGGTACGTTAAACAACACTGCTCAAGTTGTAAATTTTCAATATTATGAGCAACACTCATTTGCAGCTAACGCATGCCCTGGTCAAGGAGGAAATCCAGGCCAAAGAATATCTGGAGAATCTTAACAAGGAGCTGGCAAGGCGTACTAATATCGAAACGGAGGCCTCTTGGGCCTACGGCTCCAATATCAATGAGGAGAACGAGAAGAGGAAGAACGAGGTATCAGCCGAACTGGCCAAATTCATGAAAGAGGTATCCGTCGATATACAGAAGTTCAATTGGCGCAGCTATCAGAACGAGGATATCAAACGCCAATTTAAATCCCTCTCGAAATTGGGATACGCTGCTCTGCCTGAAGCAGACTATGCTGAGTTCCTGGAGGCAGTCTCCTCAATGGAGTCCAATTTCGCAAAAGTTAAAGTGTGCGATTACAAAGATAACACCAAATGTGATCTCTCGCTTGAGCCAGAGATTGAAGAGGTGATTACCAAGAGTCGCGATCCCGAGGAACTTAAGCACTATTGGGTACAGTTCTATGCAAAGGCCGGCACAGCGGTTCGACCACAATTCGAACGTTACGTCGAATTGAATACGAAAGCGGCCAAACTGAACAGTAAGTAGGATGTAGATAATAGATGGTATGTAGAGGTAAAAAGTACACTGATACAAAGAGGTAGACTACAAGAAACAAGATAAAAATGTAGTACAAGGTAGATAAGATAAAAGATACAAGATACATATATGATAGATACTTAGATATAAACAAGCTACTAAAATACGTAGACACTTAAATACAAGATACAAGATACAAGATAAAAGATTCAAGATACAAAGTACAAGATACAAGAAACAAGATACAAGACACATAGATATAGATATATAGATACATGGACATAGATAGATATATAAATTCATAGATATATATATATATATAGATACACAGATATAAGATAGAGATTAACCTTTCATCTTCAATTCTCACGTAATCTTTACTAATAATTCCCCTTCAATCTTCAATAGACTTTACTTCTGGCGCTGAGGTCTGGCTTGATGAGTATGAGGACGAAACTTTTGAGAAGCAGCTGGAGGATATCTTTGCCGAAATTCGTCCGCTCTATGAACAGGTCCATGGCTATGTGCGCTATCGCCTGAGGCAACACTACGGCGATACAGTTGTGCCCGAGAAGGGACCGCTGCCAATGCATCTGCTAGGCAATATGTGGGCACAGCAATGGTCGGACATAGCAGACCTGGTCTCGCCGTTCCCGGACAAGCCCCTTGTGGACGTCACCGCCGAGATGGTGAAGCAGGGCTATACGCCACTCAAGA